AAAAGAAAAATAAAATTTTCTTTTACTCTGTTGGATAGGTTGAGTTGATTTATGTGTATATTAATAAATTAGTTTTATAGTTTTATTATCATTTTTGCAGAATACTGTAGTTATAGATTTTTTTATCTCACTGAGTCATGTTTGGGTAAAGTGGCAGAATGGGTAAAAAAACAACCATGTATAGGTATTCAGATTAAGTGCTTAACCCATTAAGCTCATTAAGTAAAAAAAGAAATAGTTTCTTGCTCCATCTTACATTATTATACTTAATCATTTGGTTGAATATCTTTATGGTGCATATGCAGATTCAGAGTAACCTTGAGGTTGTTGCAGATTTGGTCCAGACCAACTTTCTTTTTTTAGTTGCCATGTATCCGTACAATGGGTGCTTGGTTTGAATTCTCTCCCACTCCAAAGAATATAGAGTATATCATGTATTTTTTTTAGGGCTAAATGCAAGAAATAACAACATACTTTTATTTATTTGTGTATGACAACATCCTACTTTCTTATTTGAGTATCAAAATCTAGTAGCTGAAGCAATCAAGATCCTCAACCATAATAGAAAAGGAATCAACTACCAGATCCTCTCCAACCCTTAATTCTGAGCTATGCACTGACTTTTTGCGTGCTAATGTGTATGTTGATGGAATACTCCCTCTTGATGTACAAGTATGATATTAAATCTTTAATGTGCATTACAGATTGATGAATTCGTAACAACATAAATTCAATGCATATTCATAGAAATGTCCATGAAACATTTACAAAACTTTTGACTAGAGCGATGAAAATGATACTTGTTATGTGTGATTCTTCACTTAATCTTAAAAAATACAAAATTCCTTTCATCCCTTATCTCTATTTTGACGAGATTTAAATGTACCAATGGAAGTGAAGATACAAGTGAGCTAGAAAAGTTGAGAAGGATGACCGTGAAAGGATATATATATATATATATATATATATATATATATATATATATATATATATTTTCGAACAACAAAACTTTTATAAAACGATAGCAAAACGCTAACAAAACCTTCAACAAATAGTTCTACAAACAAAAAAGAAAACAATACATCAAATGGCTCAAGCTATAACTAGGTTTTTGTGTGCTAATGTGTATGCTAATGGAATACTCCATTTTGATGTGAAGTATGATATTAAATCTTCAATGTACAATGTACATTAGGGATCGATAAATCCGTAGCAACATAAATCCAATTTGCCTTTTTTTTTTCCAATTTTCAATGCATATTCATTGAAATGTCTATGAAACTTTTACAAAACTTTTGACTAGAACGAAGAAAATGATATTTGTTATGTGTAATTATTCACTTAAAAATATCTAAAAATACAAAATTCCTTTCATCCCTTATCGCTATTTTAATGGGATTTAAATTTCCCAAAAGAAGTGAAATATACAAGTGAGCTAAGAAAAAATGAGAAGGCTGGCCATGAAATGATAAATTAAATGAGTAATATATTGAGAAGAAAATTTATGTTGTTGTTCTAGGTGTTTTTATGACCGAATGGTTTTTTAAAAAAAGATATTGAATATAAATTACATTGATATTTCTTAACTTATAAAAAATATCATTCTGTTAACAAAACAAACTAAGGTTTTTCATTCCACATTCCACACACTAGCTCAAATTCATTTGAATACTTGATGATTGAAGAGTAATAGTCGTAAAGATTATGTAAATGCTTAATCCAATTGTGTTTTTGTTCATCATCTTCTTTGTACTTTTAATCATATATTTTAACAAGAGAGTGGGGGAAAGTATACACAAGAATTACATTTTGACTAGAGATTTTTTTTTCTGGATCAAAATATTTAGGGGGTGTTTGGGATTGCTTTTCAGGCTAAAAAATTCTTTTGACAAAAGTTATTTTTGATTTTTTGTCTTTTTACAAAAGAAATATTTAAAATGTGTTTGGTTTATCTTTTGATTTTTCAAAAACTAAAACTCAAAAGTTACAAAAAGTCACAAATCATGACTTTTGAAACAATTTATTTTTATTCTAGGGTGTTTGGGATTACTTTTGAGCATCAAAAGTCCTTCTTGTAGAAGGACTTTTTGCAAAAGAAGGTCTTTAAAATGTGTTTGGATTGACAAAAGGACTTTTGATTTAACTTTTATAGGTAAAACAACAAAAAGTCACAAAAAGTCATGATTTTGTGACTTTTAAAAGCTCTTTATTTTCTTCTTGTCAAAAGTCATTTCCAAAAGATCTTTTGAATTATCCAAACACATTTTAGTTTTTCTTTTAATTTTTTGAAAAAGTTAAAAGCCAAAAGTTATTTTAAAAGCAATCCCAAACACCTCGCCCAAAAAGCTAATATAAAAAACTTTTTGGAAAGTTAATATAAAAGAACTTTTTGAAAAAGTACAAAAAAAAAATCATTTTAAAAGGATTCCAAACACCCTCTTATTTTAGTATGGAAAGCCCCAACTAATTTGGGCTAGTGGAGCATTTGGAGCATTTATTGGGGCTAGTGGAGCATTTTGGGCTAAAAAATAGAAACTAAATTAAAGGCTAAAGCTTCAACGCAGCTGACATTTAGCAACAGCATGAACCAAATCCACAAAACAACAGAGCACGATTCACTTTACTCTTTCATTCTCCAACAATACATCAGTTGGATTCACGTTCTCGACATCTCTTTGGTGCACTTCGTGTCTCTATGTCGTCTCTCTTATCTCTCAGCATCCAATCTAAATCAAGTAAGTACAGAATGTAACCTAATTTCTTTTGAACATTTTAAAATCGTCCGTGATTTGATTTCGGGTTATAATTCAAACCAGGGGAGATCAACAGGTCTGAACCGGATTATGAATTTAATCTCAGTAAAATTAATACTCTACTATCGTCTCTCAGATTAGACTCCAGGGTATAAGCCGGATTATGCCAAAATGATCTGATATTTTCCAAAAACTCTCTTGGCATGTCTGCTACAAGGAGCATAAGCACGGGTATCAGAGACTGTCCTCGGCTGATCAGATTCACTTTGAAAGCTCCAACGAATGTAACTACATTCTGTTCAATTCTTATTCTCGTTCTCGTAAATTCCCTGATTATTGAGATATATTTCAATTCAAAATTGTTAGGTTGAGGTGGAATTTGCAAACGGTAGTCAGTACAACTTGCCGGCTGAATTCTTGAGGGTGTTCAGCCCCGCTGTTGATAGTAAGATCAGATCAATTGGTGGCGAGAAGGTACTTTTGACTTAGGGTTGTTCACGAAAGCATAAAGGAAAGGTCATTGAGTCAATATATCATAGTTGTTGATGTTTATTACTTATATGGTTCTTCATGGACCAATATTTGCATTGAACTACGTATCAGGTGATTTATGGACGCCGTTATGTAGGGCTCATGTCTGCAGAACCGGTTGGAAACTATGGTGTGAGGTACTTACTTATTATGGGTATATAATAATAATAATGTAAATAAATATAATGATTGTTTAGTGATTTTCATGAGTAAATTCATTTCGTTTATTGGCTATTTTTAGGTTACTTTTTGATGACTTGCATAAAACTGGGATATATACATGGGACTATTTCTATCATCTTGGAAGCAACAAATTCACCCTCATGAGAAGCTACATCAATACGTTGAGGAAACATGGGCTTAGCCGTGACCCTCGTGCAAAAAAATAAGGCGATTTTTCTTAAAATATTTCGTTAAATTGGCAACAAAGATTATTTTCAAGAACTTCATATGGTTTACATTTCCTCTTGCTACAATATAATTTCCCAAAATCATGATTTCTACTCTCTATATGATCGCTTTAGAAGTTCTAGAACAAACAATGTATATTAAGACTACTCTGGTTGTTACACTGGACATGACTGACTATATAAATTTTGTAGAGCTATTTTCAATGATAAAGATGAGGAGGGTATTTATGTCTTTTGCATAGATTAGAGATCGAGAGTGAGCCCCTGCCCCCATCCATCTTGTTCCGCTTTTCTAAATGGGACCAAAATTTATCTTGTTGACATCAATCACAGTACAGTGGATGTCAAACGCAATACAATATGTTGTGTCATGTCATGTTTATCGGATAGCATTTTGTTTTGGCTTTTAGGTAATCAAAAGCTGGTGGAAATATTAACAAAGATGTTGATTGATATATCGCAATAAGGGAAAGAAATTGTTGTTGTAATATTTTTTAGGAATTCAATTTGCTAATATTAATATTAAATCTTCTCATTGTAGTTTCTAACTACACCCTACAATATTTGTGAAAATTTATTTACTACTGATTCATTTGTTTATTTATATTTTTATGTTTTAATTTTTATCTCGAACATGTCAAATGAATAAAATAAACATTTATTTTAGCTAAAATGGAAACAAGTCAAATGGGTAAGTTTTGCTAAAGGCCTAAAGCGTGTAGTTTAGAGATGTATGTCTTAGTCAGCTTTATTCAAAGAACTGGATTCATGTTGTAGGTATAAGATTCTATCATTTGTGGTTATTGTAGATAGCAACATACTTTCATTTACTTGCACATTATATAGCATCTTATTCTTTTCCTATTACAACATTGCACTTTCAGTCTTTCTATTTTTATTAAGGCGATGTACTTTGGAAAAGCAAACGACTATAGCATTGTATTTTTTTTTTAACTTTTTTTATTAAAGACATTATATTTTAAAAAATTGATCAAGTTGTAACGGTGAAATTTTTTTGTATTTCCATGACATTGTTATAATGTGTGTAGATTTTTTAAAGTATAATGTTGTAATATGAAGAAATTTTAAAGTATAAATCTATAATAAACAAATCAATAAAAGTATTTTGCTATGGCTTGCATTTATCCATTGAAATTACAACAGGCTTTTGGAACTAGGATTTGACTATGAACCAATTTTTTCATTCTAAATTCTTGATTGAGATTAAAAATTAACTAAAAGTATGAACATTATGAAACTTCCTTTTTTTTCTATAATTTCATTAAGTAGAAGTTAAAATTGCATAGTAGGGTTTCTATCAATTTTCACATAATTGAGAATAATAATTAAATAAAAGTAAAAAACCATTTAGTGTTAAATGATTCTAATCTCTTAATGGTTCAAAAAACATAAGGTTCCTTATTTGTTCATCTAGAGGCTTTTAATTTGTTCATGGGTTTTTCGACGGTTGTATTAAACATGTTGAATGCTGACCGATTAAGGCGATAACATTGAATTTATCAGTGTGTTTTTCTGTGGGGAATATTGTGCTGGAAAAATGGGTTATGTTTTCATTTTAGACTCGAAAGCTAAGCTGGATTTTAACTGTAATCCATTAAAGATTCAAGTTATTAAATGTGCTTTCCATGACTCGCATCATGTATTAAAAGAATTGTTATTATTATGTCACTTTATTTATCTTATTCTAGATAGACTTCTTATCCGATAGGTTAGGCTAGTTTGTTATTTTCTTATGGCTATTTATCCAACTATTCTGATGTAACCAGGCACGATTCAATCAATGAAACAAGAACTGATTCTCAGTATAATCTGATTTCTTTATGGTATCAGAGCATAAGATCCATACATAACCGGACTTCCAATGGCAGGAGATAAGCCGGAATCGTCTGGTGATAACAAGAAAAACGAGATAGATACAAGCTCTCCATACTATATTCATCCATCGGATTACCCCAAGCAGATGCAGGTAAA